CGCCAGAGGCGTCGAGTAAAGAATTTGTTCGCGGGAAACTGTCATGGTTAACGTTTTTATTTTATAAACATAGGAACAATATAAACCGTATAAACAATATGAACCGAATAAACGAATAAACAAGAAACGAAACAAATGAACAATAAATATATATATATATACAGTGACGACGACGGTGTCGTCACATCCCGCGCTTAGGGGGATCCGTCGAGGCGCCGGGCCGCTCGGGGGCGGCCATCCGGGTGAAATCTGATCACCCATCGGCCCGACGCGGTGCGGACCTTATATCTCCGCCCGATGATGACCGATCCGGCGGGGACCTCGACCACGGTGCCGTCGCCTAGGCGGACGGGAATGGTCCCGGCGATAGGTGGCCTGGCGGTCTGCGGTCGGGTGGTTGCCGGTCGGGTGGCGGGTGGTCCGGCGGGCGTGGATGGTCCGGTGGTTGCAGGCCGGGCGGTAGGCCGATCCGACGGTCACAGGTCGGGCGATCGCTGGGCCGGCGGTCGTGGGCCGGGTAGTCGGCGGGCCGATGTTCGTAGGCCGGGCAGTAGGCGGTCTGGCGGTCGCAGGCCGGGTAGTTCGTGGTCCGGCGGTTATCGGACGGTGAGTAGGCGGCCCGGTAGTCGGCGGCCGGGAAGTCAATGCTTTGATGCTGGGCTTGGCGGCCGGTGGGCGGCTGGTGTCAGGTCGAGGCTTGACCAGGGCGGCGACCCTTCCGCGGTGGCGCGGCTTTACCTCCGGTGGTGTGGCCAGGAGGACGGCCTTCCGTTGGTTGGTCCGGACGGATCGTTGGACCGACGTTCCCGGGCGCGGCGGACGTCGCGGCCGTCCTGGACTCGGGGTTGCAGGAGGCGACTCGGCGGGAGCAGGCGTCGGCGGCGTCGTGGTCGGTGGTGCGGGAGTAGGCCCGCTCGCTTCGGACTCCGAGCTCGAACTGATCGCTCCGAATAGTTCATCTATCTCGCGTCGGTCCATAGCGACTGTTACTCCGTGCGGGGTTGCAGTAATCGCTACTGTTGTACTGATCTCTCATAATGACGTTCAGTCGCGTTACACACATTCATGTAATCACACGTACGCTGTCTATTTTCAATTTCGTTGATACGAATTATCACAATTGTTTCGTAACTGGGAGTGTTTTTAAGGGAATGGGGCTCATATACAGTGTTTTGTAAAACGTTTCGACATCAGCTACAAGAATCTGTAACAAAAACTGACGAGTTCCATTTGAAATTTTTTACGTTATTTGTATGCAGCTCGTAAGGATCATTTCAAGGTCATGCCGTCTATGCCACATAATACATCTTTTCATACCATAAAAATTATGTCTAAGACATTTTGTCGAAAAATGAATAGTTTCGGAAATAATTGTTTGCTTCCATACTTTTTCCCCACCCTGTATAGTATTATTGAAAGAAATATTAATAAACACTGTATATAAATTAAATCATATTGTCCTTATGTATCCAAGAGTTGTGCGAATTGTCAAATCCCAGCCATTTCACGTAAACCTCGTCACCTCTCCTGCGCAGTATTTTCTCCACGAGATACACGTCGGGATAATTCGTGCGATGCAACTCGTGCTCGTAGAACGCTCCAGCGATAGGTTTTTTGCGATAATCCTCGAGTAGATAACTCACGGGATTAGTATGCTGCACTTTTACAATTTTAAACACCTCGGTTGTCCAATTTGGCGTGTAACCCTTCTCGAAAACTGTCTTGTATTTGCTAACGCGTACCGAGTCACCTACTTTGAATTTCGCCGGACCCGCGATATTTACACGGTTGTATACAGTAGCCAAGAGTCTCTCGGCGATCGCGGGGGTAACGTCGACGGATCGCATATCGATCGTTCGATGCTTGCGCGCGTTGTAATCCGATACGAGTCCCGGCAACGCCTTGACCCACTTGTAAGATCCGTTCAGCGTAAACATCTTCCACATGTCGTCTTTTAGCGTGCGATTGAATCGCTCGACGATCGATGCCTTCAATACCGAATACGTAGAATAATGATTTATGCCATGTTTTCGCATGAGCCGTTGCACGTTGGCGTTATAAAATTCCTTCCCCATGTCGGTCTGTATGTTTTTCGGACACTCTCGCTATCTCGAATTATCTCGGCGATAGCGTCAGCTGTCTCGCTTCCGCCTTTACTCTTGAGCGGTATGGCCCACGCGTGCTTGCTCAACGCATCGATGACTGTGAGTATGTAGTTGTAACCTCTGTTGAAACGAGAGTACGGACGCATCTCGACAATGTCGGCTTGCCACAGATCATCGTATCCCCGCACTATTACGTGTCTTCGGGAGAAATTTTTTCTCGCCGGTGCGTGCAGTTCGTTCACCAACTGCCGTTTCTCTAAACTATGTTGTTTCTTCGCTTCCCCAGTTATTCCCGATCGTCGGCCCATCGTTGTTTCGATTCGTCGATCGAATTAGCCGTTCAATAGCCGTTCGTAGCCGTTCAATTGCCGTTCGTAGCCGTTCAATTGCAGTTCACTGCCGTTCGATTGCCGTTGCTGACCCGTTCAATAGTCGTTTGATTGCCGTTGCTGACCCGTTCGATTGCCGTTTATAGCCGTTCCTTAGCCGTTCGATTGCCGTTCAATTGCCGTTCACTGCCGTTCTTGATCCCTTTGTTGGCGCGATTGACCCTGTTGATAGTCGTTTTTAAGCAGTCCGTAGCCTCGTTCGCAGTCGTTTCTGACCCGTTCGTAGCCTTGTTGACAATCGTTTTTGACTCGTTCGTAGCCGTTGTGGACTTATATGCCGCCTCGTATGTAGCCGTTCCTGACGTGTTCATAGCCTTGTTCGTAGCCGTCCTTGAGATGCTCGTAGCCTCGTTCGCAGCTGTTCTTGAATCGTTCGTAGCCTCGTTCGAGACCGTTTCCTCTTCGATCACTGCCACTCATTATAGCTCGATAATCGTCGGATAATCGTTCGGTAAACCTTTCTAGATGTTTAATAATTGTACAATAACCGCTCCTAAGCCGTTCACTACAGCACATTACAGGTTGATAGCCGTTTCTGAATTAGCGTTAATCGTACGACGAAGCTCGTTTATCGCAGCCTGCAAAGCTCGCAGGTCCTTCTCGAACGCAGTCAGCTTCTCGTCTGATTCTTTCCGTTGATTTTTCAACGTTTTAACGCATTCTTCCACGTACAGTTTGTTGACAGCATCGGTATCAGCCTCAGGTTGCGCTACACGGCGAATCTTGCGCGACCTCGCGTCATAGTCCGTTGCGACGCGACACAGAGCGTTTTGACGCAAGTAACTCGTCACCAATTTACCCCAATGATCGCTCGTGCTGATTTCTTCGTTTCTCCGTTCGAATAATCCAAATTTGTTGATAGGCATTGTTTTTCGATGCGAGTGACGTCGATCGACTGATTAGTTTCGTCGAGGCGCCGTTTAATTTATAATAATGCCGGCTTCCCGAAGTTCCTCTATGACAAGATCTCGTTGTCGTGAGCGTTGTGGCCAGCTCGACGCGAAGCATCGAGCAATCGCAGGCGATCCACTAGCTCGTTGGGATCGTCCCAGTGCACGTAATCGATCTTATTGTCGGTTAGCGTCATCGCGCGAGGCGTGAATACTCCCGTTCCCGTTTTTTTCTTTTTCGATTCGAACGACATCAACGGCGCGATTATTTGTTTATACTTGTATCCCTTGTTGCTCTTTAATTGACCTTGAGCATTATATCGACGTTTATGCGCACTCGTCGCCATTAATATGCTCTTATATTTTTGCGCATCGTCCTCAGTGTATATGGCGTCATTGGGAATTCTCATGAAGATCAACTCGTATAATCCCGGTGTACCGATGTATCTTACATTGTCTATGATTATAGAGTCATCTTTGTCAATGCCGAATCGTTTGTTACCGAGACGCATTCCATTCTCGTCGAAATAGACGCCGTACACGTGATCGATCGCGTTTTTTTTTCTTTCGTCACCGCTAAGAAGAGCGCCCATGTATTTTTGCCCGAGTGGTCCCAAGTTCTCTCGTAACACTTCTTGACCTTCCGACGTTTGTAACATGTTTCGAACGGATGTTTCGGGCGGATTGCCCGTAGTTTCGAAAACATCTTCGATCGCGAGTGATTCGGGTATCGCGAGTTGCGCGATTTTCGGCGCGAACGGTGTAGAGGTTATCGGCGGTTCATCCGATAAAGTCTCCGATAGATCGGATATACGCGACATCGATAAACGTTTCGCATTCACCGATCGTTTCCTCTTTTTCGGTGTCGCAACCTCCTCCTCCTCCTCCTCCTCCTCCTCTTCCATATATCGCTTGATGGGTAACGTTTTAATTATAGCGTTACTCTCCGGCTCTTTTTTCACCGCGATTGCGCTAGAGTTGTCGATAATCTTTTGCAGCGGCTCGATAATAGGTCTAAAATGAGTCATGACCGCGATATCTTCGTCGATCTTACCGGTCTTCAAAGCGCGATGTTTCTTGCGGATCGATTCGCTCGTTTTCTCAATCTCCCGCGCAATCTTTTCACGCTCGCGAATATTATCGTTTCCAGCCATGTTGACGGAACGTCGAGCGTTTCACCCTTCTCGACGGAATGTCGACAGCGACTAATCGTTTCGCGGTATCGCGAACACGTTAAATCTTTTTCTGTATCGCCCATATTCATAAGCGCGCTGTCCTTATCAATCACTAGGAATCCATACTTTTGTTGCCAACAAGTACGGCATAATTCACTGAAATCCTCGTACGACATATCGGTATTCACGTGATCGTTGTACACGTGTTTCAAATTTGTACCGTCCTGTTTAAACAAGATCACCAGGTTCGCGTTGTCGCGTATAAGATGTTTCGGTATTCTCGCGTACGTCTGACAAAGATAGAAGCAGTCGACGTTCGAGTGACGGCCCATTGAGAAGTACTCTCTTATCGTATCTTGCTTGTCGCACGCCACGTCATCGAAGACAAAAATCGAGTTTGGACGTGCCTCGCACGGTGGAATGACGTCACTGTTATTCGAGAACGTAAAGTAGCCGATTTCGTCGATCGGCGTCAATAAATTCTCCAGATATCGATATTTCAGCTGTTGCAGCGACTTTGAGTACACGTACACGTTCTCGAAACACGTACACCGTGTGGACTTTCCAGTAGACTTATCAAAACGTTGGTTTTACCACAATTCGAGGGACCGCAAACGATCGCGCGTATAGTAGTCGGTAACATCGTACCGTGTCTGTGCATCTCCACGTTGTCCCCCATCGAGCGTAATCTGTCGTCGCAATTCGTCACGCGTATCGTCAAAGGCTGTCGTACGAACCGCATGTTTTCTGTTTCGAATCAATTTTGCGAATGATCGCGAGGGGGAGGCCTATTTATAGAGGTGTCGCGACTCGAAACCGCTCAGGATCAAAAATGTTTCTCCTTCTGTCGGACGAGAGAGACATTCTCGGACTTACCGCCAAACAGCTGCAGTATATTTCGAAGATTCTTTTACTGGAAAATTTCGGTGATTACGTGGAACGATTGTGGGACAAGCTTCCTGAATATATAAAGGCTGATCCGGAGGTTCGACAATATCGTTCGTGCATGTGACATTACAACCAGCCGTGGCAGCGAACGCACATTGGCGGACCGCCTCCGTTGATAAAAGATTGCTACGTATGTCAGCGAGAATCAGACAGCGGTCTCTTAAATCGTGCGAAAAACGCGCTTCCGATCGAATTCCATATTCCCGGCTATCAGTTTTGCGGCCCAGGCACGCGGTTGCGGAAGCGATTAGCCAGAGGCGATCGAGGTATAAATTTATTGGACGCGGCGTGTCGAGCACGATATAGCGTACTCTCGGAGCAACGATCTCACCGAGAGACACGCGGCGGATAAGATACTCGCCGAGAAAGCGCGAAATCGTATCGGTGCGAGAGATTCGACTCTCGCTGAGAGAGCCGCCGCCACAGCTGTCTGGCCAGCGATGAAAGCCAAGACGAAGCTCGGTATGGGCC